TTTTGTATAAGAAGAAAGATCAAATGCGACGACTTTGACTTCAACAAGTGGGTACTACCACATGCACAGTTGTATCACATTGAATTCCTTTATCTTCGGGATTATCTTAATCTTCTTCAATCACGTTTTAATTTTCATTAATCACAATTAACAATGATTAGTTGAATCATTACAAGAGGCATTTTCAAATAACCAAGCAAAAGCAAGGAACTTAATTTTATCTCTGATTCTTGAAGCCAAGCATGAACTGTGTTTGACGTTACATTGAGCTAAACCAAAAGATTATTGGGCTGATGATCAACAAAGATCACTCACTACCTCTTGACAAAAACATAAAAAGGAAACAACAAAGACATTTTTCCCCCAAATGGAAAATTCTAATCAGATTTTGGAGATTATCAGCATCACATTCTCCGTCTCATCTGATTACGCGGTTTCTTAACAAAACTCATATTGATCTGCTTGAGCCGTTTCTTTTTCCTAGCGGTTTTCTCAGGCAAAGTCTCCCTCTTCTTCACATTGCTATCCACTTCCTTTGTCTTCTTCTTTTTCAAAAACCGCGGATCAACTCTGTATTCCTTTGGGCTAACGGCGATACCTCTCCTAGCCGCTTCTTTGTACAAACCATTAGCTCTAGTGAGCTGGTTATTCGCGCACATTTTCCCCATTAACAAATCATAAGTCTTGATACCAGGTTTGCATCCATTAGCTTTCATGTTCTTGAATACACTCATCGAGTGTTCAAGCCTCTCAATCCCACACAATATCTTCAGAAACCCGTAATACTCCTTCTTATTCAAAGACTCACCGTACCCTGCTGATTTCATCTTATCGATCATTTCGTCTCCTTCGCTGATCCTAGCTGCTTGATACAAACTCCTAATCAGAATTAGGTAAGTTTCAGCATCTGGTTGACAACCCCATTCACCCATCCGATTAAACAAACTCATCGCCTCTTCGGTTCTCCTGATTTTACAAAGATTGTTAATCAACACATTGAAAGTCTCTGTATTTCTTGGCACTCCACGGTGTTCCATTTCGAGCAAAACCTTGTCTACTTCTGGCTGGAACCTAAACGGATCTTTCTTCCTACAAAGCTTACAAACACAATCAAGAATCACGTTATATGCTTTCGTTCCTATCTCGAATCCTCCTCTAGACATCTCACTAGCTAACCTAGTTGCTTCATCTAGTTTCTCAGCAGCACACCAACCACTAATCAACAAATCACAGATATTTTCATCAGGAAATATCTCATTAGCAGTGTTTTTCACCATCTTCTCTGCGTAACTCGCGTGCCCTTTCTCACAGAGCTTCTTCACTACCAAGGTAAGTGATTCTCTATCTCGTTTCCATCCGTAATCGTTCTCCATTTTCTCGAAAAACTCAACTACATGTTTAGGTCTACCTGCTCGGACGAGCCTGTCAATCGCCGACTCTAGTGTTTTAGCTCCGGCAACACCTTTGTATTTCTCGATGATCTCTTGCATCCCTTTGAAATCCTTCCGACGACCAAAGTAATCGACGAATAACGAAACTGTTTCATCGGTGTGAGAGAAGTCATCGTTCGAATCCAACCACTCATTAAACCCTAGCGCCGCGCGACCAGCTTCAGGGGAGAGATTGAGTGTTTGAAGAATCAAATCTGGATTCGGAGTGATGTGGGAGAAGCTAAGCTGAAATCTCTGGGAGATGGAGTGAGGATCAGCTTCTGGATCCCCAGTGAGCTCCTTCGAGAAAGAAAGAGCGATCTGATTCGAATCTGGTGTCTCCGACTCCGCATTGGTTTCCGATGAGAAGAATCTAGAAGGAAATATCGAGAATCTAGGAAGATGTCGAGGAGGAAACAACGGGTTAGGGAAAATGATACGTGACTGTGATTGAAGAGCATTAGC